TTGATCATTATTAACTATGGGAAGCTAGTATTTAATATAGTAGAAGTGCTAGCGCTAGTGCATACGCTAGTACATACGCTAGTGCAATACAGTGCCCTCTTAGATCACATGATCGATATCCCGACACTATTCCTTGTTGACAAAAATTGAGTTTCATTATTTTATCAATTCCAAATTCTTTAGCTTTCTCTGCGTGATTTCGTTTGATCATATCGAATTTCAAAGCTTCAATTTCATCTCCTTATTGTTAGAATACTTATTGTTAGAATAAAATTACAAACAAATACTTGTAATACATACCTTGTCCATCCTCTTTTTCAAGGGCCTTTTTCATTTTTAAAACTAACTGAATCAGGTTTTCGCCTACTTTAACAAGCTTACAATTACCTTTATATTATTGCCGTTCTTTATTATTCCCTTTTTTATTATTTTTTGCACTAAATATTATTAATATTTTGTATATTAAAGATGATTTGCAAACTTATAATTCACAATACTTTCCAATTGTGAAATATAATCTAAGTCCTGCCATTATTGCAAAAATTAATGAGGCTTTGAAAAATTGAAGTTGTAGATAATATATAGTTGAGATTGAGAGTGAATATATTGGATTACAATATTATATTAGTATGAATAAGTAATCCAAGGTTATTCTACTTTTGATGTTAATTATTAAGGGATGTAGTATTCCCTGTATTTGTCTTAGTATACTATAGATTATAACTGTAATGTTTAAAGGTTTCTAAATAGGGCTATAAGGTGTAAGTGATATGCATACTAGCAGCTATTCTAACTAAACTAATTTGTTCTTGTATATATATTGTGACGATTGCATCATTTAGAATACTAAGGTGAAGAGCTAGAAGAGCTCTTCGGAAGGAAGTGGTAATATACAGGATTGTGGATCACGTGAGGACCTAGCCGATCCACTAATATGACAGGATCGTTACACTACCCCCCCCTTTTGAAAAGCTTACCCTTGAGTGTACTAATAGTATTCTAAATACAATTCTCCAATCCAATTATATTATGATCTATATTCTCTACTACCGCTAATATCTGGTTTATAGTTCCAATACTAGTTCCAATATTGCTTATAATATGATTTGTAACGTCATCGATCGCTTTACGGAAGTATGTGTTTTGTGGTTTCATTGTTTTTGCGAGAAAGACTTCAAAATTAATAGGAGAAGGTTTCGAGAGTTGTTAAAAGACAAAATGAGCGAAAGAGAGAAGATCTGCTTGAAATGTATTTCTTATCAGTGGTGCCGATGGAGTGGTGGAAGTGTTAATGGAATGCGGATTGACTTGGTAGATCAATTAAATAAGCTGTTTCGTTGTGGCATCGATTGTGCGAGTGTATTGATGTTTCGAATCGATCAGTTCTTGCAGTTTGTATGCTAGGTTTAGGATTTTCGGATTTATTGTCGATAGAGCAAAGAGATTCTAAATGATGTGATAGTGAGGTATCAGCTTGTCGGTGGGTGAGGTTCGCGGGAGTGGAGTTAGGGAGAGGTTTTGATTGGAGGTTGTACGAATAGTCGTATCGGGGGAGCGGGCGTGGAAGGCAGTAGGCATTTGGTGAGTGGGTTAGTAATAGGAAGTTTTGCAGGAGCGATCAAAAGCTTAAAAAATTTATATGACCTTAGTATAATATAATGATTGTATCATTTAGAATACTAAGGTGAAGAGCTAGAAGAGCTCTTCGAAAAGAAGTGGTAATATACAGGATTGTGGATTATGTGAGGACCTAGCCGATCCACTAATATAACAGGATCGTCACATATATTAATATTAATCTTAATATCATTCTTTTACTACCTCGACTCTCCCCTATAGATCTTTCTTGATAATTCTCTACTCATATATACACTTCTTTTCTAGATCGATTCTTCTTCAAATCTATTCTTTTCTAATAATATTTCTGTAAGCCGAAATCCTTTTCAAATTGATTAACAATAACCAAATAGCAAATATATCAATACTAGTATTGATAGTAATAATCTAGATTATAGGAGTTTTCAAAGATTGTATATTGATTCAAATAAGATAGTATCTATAGTATAGACGTTTTATAGAGTCATAATGATTAGTTGCCATCTTCACAGCTAAAATTTGAATTATCTGATCCGAGATTTATATAAAAACTGATTTAAATCTTGATAATGAAATGCAGTTATTTAAGATACTTCTTCTATATTACAACAATGGAGTACAACAACCGAAAAACTTCGAGGAAGTATCAAAATTCTGTATAGTAGTTTATCTGCAGGAAGTAATTGATATTATATAACTAATAAAACAAGATTATCTTTAAGTTGAGCTAATATAGTATTGCCTTTATATCTCTTCTTCTTTTCTTCATCTTCAAATTTGTTTTCTTTAAATCCCAGTATTATCAATGTGATCTAAAGCAAGCTATAGTCCAAGAATTAATAATTTATCACTACTTATACCATATCAGTAATTCTTGAAATACCAGGGATGCTCCTAAGCTTCTTTGGGGACTATCAACAACCATCCGTCGTTAGTTCTGTATTTAGCATAGTAGCCCGGGCTTTGGCTGACCGACCCAGGAAATCAATGATCCGTCCCGCGCGCGTTGGCTTAAGAATACCCCACACTTGTAGAACGAATCGGATCTCCAATCAGATCACTATCTTACAAGCTTTTACCAACTACATTTATCGAATTGGTATGACATGGTTTATTAGCGAGTAAATCCTATCTATCCGGAACAGATCACTTCCAACCCTCACCAAAATTAATGCTTTCACAATATTTTACCGTAGAAATATTTGAAATATTAGTGTTCAATGCTGGCGATGTTAAGTATTGTTGAAAATGGCCTTTTCAACCTTCTTTATTATAAAATGGTGGTCCACACATGGCGGTGACTTGATCAATCTCTCTTCTAACAAAGGGCATGTTTGCAACCTTAATCTCCGCGCATGTAGGGATAGAGCGAAGTAGACGACGAGTAACTAAGCCCGCCGCCGGTTTGACTTCCCGCTTCGATCGGTCTTTCTATATTGATGGTGTTGGGTATACATGGTTGTAAAGCAGGTTTGAATGCAAATCCAAATTCAAGTTGAGGACACAACATATTGCTAGGTGAATAAGTCCGCAAGGGTGACATACTTCGGCGACTACTTGTTGATCGTGCATTAAGGTCAGTTTGTTCAGTAGTGATGAATTGTAAATTATCACATGGTAGGTTCTATCTTGACATAATAGCATAATTATTGCAAAGCAAGATCTATGCACTATTTGAGCTATGTCAAGTTAACGTTACACTGCACACGATAACAGGCTGAAGTGCATTATGGAACACATGTGCATAACTTAAATCTCCTTAAAGGTGTGTTGTGTCTACGGTGATTAAGATCAAGCAGAAAACCACTCCAAATCACTTGAACTTTATCTTAAAGTACGGAAAGTAAAAACCTACTTACAAAGTTAAAAGAAACTAAGTATCTGCTTTTGAGCGAATTTACGGTCTTCCTGGCTCAGGCAAGAGTTATCTACTATCTCATCTTCGACGCTATCCAAAATTACCCGAGAATGTTTTAAGTTTGTTGAAGGATCCGAAGTAATTGCTCAAAATATTGAGGGGGGACTCGAAGCTTTCCACCAATTGAGTCCGGAAGAAAAGTCGCATCGGCGTCAGACCGCAATCCATTCAATTCAAAGATCTACGCCCCTAGATCAAGTCTCCGTTGTAGCCGGTCACTTCATGTTTTGGCCCGAAGGAAACAAATCCGGCGATCAAGTATGGACTGCAAACGATCTTGAAGTATATACCCACATTATCTACATATCTGTACCTGCAGGAACAATCGCAGAACGTCGTCAAAAGATACGACACGATCTCGCACACCAACATCAGCCGAGCATTTGCAGAGATGGCAGGATATTGAACAAAATATGCTGAAGGCTCTCTGTCGAGAATCGGGTATCGCGTTTTCGGTATTGGTTTCTACATCGAATTTGGTAGCCGATTGTGCATATCAATTGTGCAACTTTAGACTTTACACTGAGATTCACAACTTGAAGCATGCCGAAGACAGATTGGATGAAATCTTTGGACCAAATCGAGAGAAATTAGAAACGATATTGGTCATTGATGGAGATAAAACTTTAACGTCTATGGATACTGGAGCGATGTTCTGGGAGAAGGTCGGAAAGCAAACGATCTCAAGTGGGCTATAGATGGCTCGGATCCACTGAAGACATTATTTGGTGGTCCTTTGGGTTACAGCTATACAGCGTTCCATCAAGCGTCTCTCTTGTACGAGGCGCTCCCAAAGACAATTTCGACGTTGTCCTGTGATAAAGTGGCATCTGAAATGGTCATGTATTCGGATTTTGTGTCTATTTTACAGCTGGTATCAGAGCAAGAGCATGTAGGTGTTGTTATCGTCAGCTGTGGAATTCGTCGCGTTTGCGAACAGGTGTTGGCAAGGGAAAACTTATCAGCCGTCAAAGTCGTTGCTGCAGGCAGACTTGAAGATTATCTGGTCGTCACTGCTTCAGTCAAAGCAGCTCTTGTTGATCGTCTTCGCAAACATACGACACCCATGTTTGGGCATTTGGAGATAGTCCCTTGGATTTGGAGATGTTGAGTCGTGCAGACGAGGCTATAGTTATAGTGGAGAAGAGCAGAGTAGAAGTAGAACCATGGATATGAGCGCATCTTATTTCTATTCTTTCCTTTTAAAGCGACTTACTTCTTTTTTGCCTTGTATAGTATGTCAGCAAAACTGACGCTCAGTGTTTTTAGACAATGTTGATGAATGCAATTGAGCATAAAAACCTGAGGGCACGACAAGCTGTACTACCAAGCACGGCATCACCACGCTTGGATACTACCAGAATGCCTCTAGTACATTTAAACCAGTCAAAGCTTCATTGAATCTATCCTCCGTTGCCGCAAGTCAAATGTCTACACCGAACTCAGTGACCTTCAAGCCACAGACCGTATCGCAGCAAAGTTACTCATGACCCCGATGCGCAATGCAAACATCTCTGGCCACATTCTACGAGAGGCTCACTATCGTGTTGGATACTATCTTGCTACAGAGTTCTTGGGAAACGTACTGGGTATTGAAGAGTACCTAGTTCCTCATGTGCAGGGCCACACAACCAGTGGATTTCGTGTATTGCATGAACATCAAACCTTGATTGTGGCATTGATGCGCGGTGGCGAACCCATGGCTTTTGGTGTCAGTGAAGCTTTGCCACTCGCTACGTTTCTTCATGCTGAAGACCCTGAAGATATTAAGGCTACTCATGTGGAGGGCCAGCTCAATGTTGTTCTCGTGGACTCGGTTGTGAATAGCGGCAAGACAATCGTTGAGTTTGTAGAGCATATCCGGAAGCTGCACGCAACGATCCGTATCGTTGTAGTAGCTGGCGTGGTTCAATCGCAGGTCATTCATGGATCCAGTGCAGCCAAGGCACTTGCTAGATCTGGGAATTTCAGTATCGTGGCTCTGCGTCTCTCAGAGAATAAATTCACGGGCAAAGGCACCACCGATACTGGGAACCGGCTATTCAATACAACATATCTACCTTGATGGATTGAGAGTGCAGAATGGTACAACGATACTGGCTAAAAGATTCTGAATTCAATGCAATAACATAAAAATATTATGAAATGTTTTTGGATATAGCCTATAGCTTGATTTTTGTATGTGAATATTCTACTTTGTGAGCCTAGAAAAGTTTCGTATATCTTGCTTGTCAGCTTGCGTCCTCTGAAATCTTTGTGACAATTGTGACTCCTGATGTATCCTTATCAAGATGAGGTAAGAAGATCTGTAAATTTGTACTATGGTTGAGAGGATAGACTAGGAAGCGTTCTAATATTGTCAGTATCATTCAGCATTCAAAGCATCCAATGCATACCTCGGAGGTTAACCCGTAAAACTCAAAATAAGCTGTTGTTTTGCCCTTCGGAGTACGACCGCTTGCAAAAAACCATGAGTACTCTTGCATGAACATATCAATATCGAACAGCGCCACTGCGGTTTGGTGTGCCTGAAGTTCCACTTCACCAACCCTATTGCCAAAAGCTGTTTGATCTAGCATGATAGAAAATTATTGTCTGCGCGATAGATATCTCTATTCGTACGGTACCGACACAATGTTGGCAAGCCAAAGTTATTGTTGGGACTCAAATCATGTCCCACATGTAGGTAGGTATGAACTAGTCTCTTGATCTCGTCGGTTTCGTTGGTTTCGTAATAGGAGGATCGCAAAAAATCACCGTTGCGACGGATTTTGGCCTCCCAAGACTTGTCGCGTTTTCGTATCCACACGCCACTTTTTGATAGTAGGTTGCCAGAATCAAAATACTCATCTTCAAAGCTCTCGGTGCGCTCATGGGTTAGGCGGCGAAATGGTGGCTGTCCTTGGTTTTTTCGGAACCGCGCGAGCAAGGCTGGATTGAAAGCAAACTTCCCCTCAATCTCGTAAAAGACCATTGTAAGATAAAATAAATAGTTAGCGACAACTGACAATTGGAAGGTGGATTGCGATTATAATCAATGCTACAATGATCAGAAAAAACATGACATTGCAAGAGCAAGTTTACAATGATATTGAAGTTCAAGTTAACATTAACGTTGGCTCCGCATTTAGCCGAAGATAAAGATCCAATAGATCAATCATCAACAGAATCTCAAAGTAGCAAGCAGTTGTCGAAATTGTGGATGTTTATACTGCGTTGCATTATGATACTAGGGGTTTTAAATCGGTTGACACATTTGGCGTGGTAATCGATAAAAAGAGTGATAAAGGATATGTACAGCTGATTCATGAGTAATTAATTGCTACTGGACATAACAAAGATGGTATGGACATATTCCTACTCCCAATGGTCGAGAATTTGGTGTTTATTTACGGGTCTAGTGCAGTTATGCAAGCCTGCGTCGTTAGGTAATTTATCTGATTACTAGGTTCAAGTCGATTGAGTCGCCCCCTTGTGGACCTATCAATCTTCTACCACGTTGAATAATTAAAAACATAGATTATTATGGAAAGCTGATTGCTTCTTAATGGAAATTTGCGACAGTTTACCAGTCATAGAGTCTCATATATAGGAGACCACTGTTTCTGCTATTTTGTTATGGAAAAATGAACAACTTCTTGCCCCTACCAATCTAAAAAAGATTCAATTGCTGTTAATACAATGCATTACTTCCTATAAGGGGCGACCATAGCGGACAAATTGGTGTGAATGTCAACTGGTATCAACCAATAAATGAGGCAATCGAAACGAATTAATGTAACGTTAAATAATGTGGCCTGCCATTGGCTTCAAAATCATAATCAAAAAACAAAAAAGGATGTGAGTTGTAAATGTCATGTTGTGAAATTCATGGAATGAAAGAAAGGGCCAAATATGATCCCGGTGACTTGCTTCTCCGTCTCCATTGGTTGGCCGTTATGCAAGTATCCTTAACGATACAACATTACTTGCGTGGAACGAATGTTGGACTTGATTGACAGCATTCTGCTTGTGAAAGTAGAGTTTTGCTTGTTTGTCTTTAATTCGATTATTCCTTATCAATAAGACTGATTAACTTTCCTTCAACCAAGCTCAGAGGTTAACACAACAAATTTCGAAGGAAACTTTTTCTTCGAAATACAACCGTTCATAATCGATTTAGATCATAGTTATTAAACCAAATTGATTGCAATTGCCCCTAATGATCTGATTAGTATTATTGTACTACTGTTGTCAGTGCTTTGAACACAAAACATATACAAAAATTCACGTAAAATTTTCTCATTCCAAATTATCAGAATAAGAACTAAATCCTCAATATAAGTTCTCTTAATAATTTATCAATACTTAAAGATACAACTATAATAAAAACTCCTTCTAAAGCCTTTATTATACCAAATACTTATCCTACTGTTATCCTAAATACCCCAATATCTTCAAACCCTCCCCTGCCTTCTGAAAACCCTCAATTCGAAATTTCTAGCCCTATCCTATCAACCAACCAGCCAACTAGTTCTGAAAAAAGATTTGAAGAATTCAATCTATTTAATAATCCCTTTATTACTCAAGATACAACCAATACTATCTATATATTCAATCAGAATAAGAAATAGAGCTCTACAAGTACCCCTTAGCAATCAAAATAAATAATCTAGAATCTAAAATAATCCAAATATACCCAAGGAAGCTATTTTGAAAGCTAGAGACCTTATAATGCTAGCTTCCTCTTTCTCCCAATTACACGAAGAACAATTCAAACTCTTAGATCTCCTAGAGATCTTTAGAGAATATATTGAAAAGAAGAAGCTTATTACAACTTCGAATATCATCATCTCTTAAATTATTTATTTAGAAACTGCTATACACAAAATCGAATCATAAGCAAAAACATTAGCTAAACCTCTTCCACCCACTATTACTACTATTATTATATTGAAACCAATATACACTGATATTTCAAAAAAAGGAGAATGGAATTTAGTCTCTAAAAGGAAAAACATTACATCTATTAATATAGAAAAGAATCTAACCTCATCCAAAAACGAATTATTTTAATCAAACCAGATTTTCCAAATCCTACCTCCTTTTCCCCTTTAATTATCCAAAACAAAATAAATAAAGTTTTTCAAAAGATCGAAATCAAAAGGCCAATTATTACAGCAACAACTATATTCTTCAATAATAATATTATTATCACACAAATAATCCCTTTACATTATAATTCTTATTAGAAAAAAAAGCGATTTGGAATAATATTATCAAATTCAAAAAAATCCAAAAGGATTAAAAATGGTATAAAGTTATTATTCACAAAATCCTAATTAAAGAATTCTTAGGCATAAAAGGAATAAATCTTATACTCAACAAAATCAAAATCTTCAATCCAGACTTCAAGCCTATAGAAATCCCCTTTTAATTTATACCTATCTCCAAAAGAGTTTATTAATAAAAGATACTATTATTATTACTTTTACTACAAAATCAGAAGTAGAATTAGCTATTTGAAAGTGATTATATATTGCTAAAAATAATATAAAAATAGAACAATTCTACAAATCAAGACCAACTACACAATATCAGAAATGTCAAGGATTTGAACATCAGGATACCTATTATAAAAGAAACCCTTTTTGTAGATTATATGAAGGCAAGTATATTATATCAATATACTTATATATGATATATAATATCAAAGGAAAGTTCTATTAATACTTAGAAATAAAATGCTCGAATTATTAAAAGAATCATGCAGCAAATTCGAAAATATACAAAATCTATCAGGTTATTCAATAAAAATCGAATATTACTTATTAATAAGTTATACTAATATTCGAATTCTTCAAATAAATCTCAATTAGAATTCATAAGCTACAGAGAACATTTTATAGCTTACAATAGAACTTAATATTAACCTTATTATAATTCAAGAACCTTAAATTATTAAAAACGGAATCGATTATTCAAATTCAAAATCTATTATACACTCCAATTTCATACAAACATTACCAAGACTCAATTTTAATTATTGGTTATGTATATTATTATACATATCAAAAACTCTTTAAGCTATAATCAATCTAGTTTTCGATTCTCCAATAAATTCTGATATACAGATTTTCAATTATTAAAATAGAAATAAAACCTTTTAAATTATCAATATATACAATAAAACTAATCAAGTTAAAGAAAAAGGTTTTATAATCGAAAAGTACTTATATAATATATTTATTATATAAGAAATCATTTTTTTAGGTGATTTCAATACCCATCACTTATAATAGAATCCTTTTTCGAAAAAAAAACGGAAATGTTGATTAATTAGCTGAATAGTTTGAAGATCAGAATCTTATTCTTTTAAATAAGCCCGGAATCAATATTTTCTATCAAACTAATCTTTTTAATCCAAATATTCTTAATCTAATGCTAGTATTAAAAGGAATCTCTTCTCAAATTCACAATTGGCAAACGCTTTCAGATATAGGATCTAATTATATAGAAATATTATTCGAATTAAAAAAAAAAGAAGATTTAAGTATTTCTAATACTAAATTGATAGCTAGATACAATATTAAACTAGCAAATTAAGAAAAGTTCGAATTAATATTTAAATCGAAATCCTTATATTTCTTTATTCTATCAAATTTAAAATTAATTCTTTTAATTAAAAAGGATTCCTTAAACCTTTTAAAAAACAAAAACAATTATTATCTAACTCTAAATCAAGCAGCAAGCGAATTTATTAGAATTATTTAAAAAGTAATAAAAAGATATATATCTAAAATTGTTTTAATTAAAAAGACCAAACTATAATGAACACCTGAATTAAAAAATTTCCGAAAAGAGCTAAAAAAAGCAAACAAAGAATTGAATCAGATCTGGAGAATTATAACTTTAAAGAAGGATATCGAATTACTAGAAACAAGTATTTTAAGTTATTAAAATAATAAAAAGGATTATTGAAATAAGTTTTTAGAAAAGGAGGATATAAAAACAATTTTCAAAGTAATGGTTTATATTAAAAACTTTCAAGATTAAAGGATATTGGATATTATAATAAAAAGCTTTTTTAAAGAAAAATGCTCTACTTTTAGATCAATTCTATTTCCATTTCTTTTTATTATCCTAAAACCATAATAGAAAGAATATAATAATCCAAATAATGGGAATAGCTTAATCTTATTCAAATCGAATTAAGTAATATCTGTTTAGTCAAAATCCAAGGAAAAATCTTTGGCCCAATAAATCACTTAAGAGATTATTATAAAGGCTTATAAAGCAATCCTATAAACCTTTTTTACTCTCTTTAATAAACTTATTAATTTAGAATATCATTTAAAATATTGGAAACAAGCTATAGGAGTTATTCTAAAAAAGTTTTCAAACCAGATTATTCTTTTCTAAAAGTATATAAAATAATTGTACTCTTAAATTGTCTGGGTAAAATAAGTAAAAGGATTTTAATTTAATAATTAGGATATTTAATGGAAATAACTTATTTCCTTACAAGAATCAAATGGGAGGATGTTAAAAGAAATTAGTAATCGATACTGTATTTTTATTAATTATAAAAATTGAAAGAAATAAATAAGTTAGTAAAAAGATCTCAATATTATTTATGGATATAAAGGGAATATTCGATTATATTTTGAGAAATCGATTATTAGATATTTGTAAAAAAGCTAAAACTATTTATAAATCTGATAGTCTGGATAGTCTTATTTCTTTAATAAAGATAATTGAAATTATCTTTTAATAATCAAATTGAATTTTTCAAGTTAATTTCAATCAAAATACTATAAGGTAGTCCGATTTTTCTAATTCTTTTTTTTATATATATCAAGGAGCTTTTTTTATCTAATTTAATCAAGTTTCTTTTTATATAAATAATATTACTTTAATTATATATTTATTTATATGAAAAAGAATATCAAAACTTTAAAGAAAGTTATAAAACAAATTTATAAATTTAGTTCT